GCCCCGACCTCAGCCCGGCGGGCGCCGGGAGGAAGTCGTGGGAAAGGAGCGGCGAGAGGGGCCCCCAGGCGCGGAACCCACACTCAGGAAGCTCCGTTGGAGTTGCGGACCCGAGAGGGTTAGATTCGAAGCGAATAAGCGCCGTCCGGCCAAAGGCTGGCGGTGGCACCCCGAGGTGGACCCGGGTCCGAGACGGGGCTCACGAAAGGCTGAGGCCCAGGAAGTTGGGGCGCACACTTGGACGTGCGCGCGCTGATCGGGGTCGGGGGCCTTGGCCCGCAACGGCGACCTGGGGGCTGCTTTTATTCTCATCGTTGAGATCACACCGGCTGAAAGACCCGAGACTGTGTGTGGAGGGAGTTGGAAGGGGGGAGAAGTGAGCTTTAAAAAGTGTTGATTTGGGGACCTCAGTGACTCCCTGGATAATAGCTGGAGCTAGGGCTCCCTTGTGAATCAAGTGCCCGGTGAAAAATGGGTCTCAAAGACATCTCGAGTTCATAAAGGAATGAATGGGGGCGCCGTAGAATTTATCTTTGGGAGGAAAAAACATTATAGGATGTTTAGAATCTTATGATACAGAAAGATCCGAAATTCAACTCCCAATAAATAGGAGAGAGACTTTTGTTTCCAAAGCTATGAACTCTCAAAAAGTAGGGCAAAAGGGGAGTACTAAGGTAATTTATGTATTCGAAGTTAGCCTTCGTGGGAAGCAAAGAAACACCAGCGTATTGGGCGGTTCTGGAGCTTTTCTCCCCACCAGCAGAATTCAAGGGCATCTGCTCACAAAGCCCTCAACTGCTTTCAGGAGTTAGTTACCCCAGGCCCCTAGGGCCTTTCTCCCGCTGCCCCTCCCCTACCAGGCAGGCAGCCTGGTGTCTTAGGTCTTTGTTTGTTTTTAACAGCAGGAAAACCCTGTGGTGAGAAAGAAGTTATCTGCAAACCTTCAAGCGTGAGGAGTTACAAAGCCCTGTGAGGTAGGGCCGAATCCACACAGTCCGCCCAGAAGCTGCAGGGGTTCCTGCCTTGTCGGAAAGAATGGCCTCCCACAAGCCTGTCAGCTGCTGCTGTTTAGCACTGGCGCTTGGCCCTCCCCTCCTTCTAAGTCGCGACCTGCATGGACCTTAAAAGAGAATCCCTGAACCCCAACTGGGGCTTAAGGACCTGGTTCCCATTCCTGGCTGGTCCTCTGGCTAAACCGTAGCCACTATAAACCTTAGGTTTCACTCCCTTCTTCCCAACCCTCATCGAAAAGCAAAGGAAGGCGATCAACAGATCAATGGCTTTCTTCATTCCAGGTAACCCAAGTGCTGTCCTCTGATTTAATCCTCACAGTGGCCCCTCAGGTAGATGTCTCTATGCCTCCCAATTACAGAGAGATTACAATACTCACTCGAGAGTCCAAGCCGCAGAGCTGGGATCTGAATCCAGGGCTCTGTGAGGCCTCAGTCTGCATTCTTGCCTTCTTGCCGCTGCACTCAGCCTTACAGTTGTGGAAGGCAAAGATGACATCATTGACAGAGCTCTTTGCATGCTATTGTGACACTACAAGAAATGTTTGCTCACCTGTAAAATGGGGCTAGAAATTACTCTCCTCTACCCTCCCACGGTAGTTGTGGGAATCTAACGTGAAAAGCTTTGCAAACAATCAAATGTTGTCCAAGAGGAGAACCATACTTTGGGGCTACTGCTAAGGCCTTGAAGAGAGGTGTGGATGAGAGAGCTCAGTTCAGTTAGACACACTCATTTCTGAGACCGCTGAAATAAAAAATGAACTTGCCAAACCTCGACGAGCTCACGGCCTAGGGAAGCATGAAGAGGTGGGAGGTGTGTGCCTGGGAGAAAGGGGCCCTTGTAGTCATCATCTCCCAGGAAAACATTAATTTTAACCTGAATCAAATCAAGCAGGTACAACTGTTGAGAGGAGGTCAGATAAAATAAAAGGACCTTCAAAATTAATCAGTGACTGACCTGGCTTTCAATCCTGGCTTTCTCCCTCCCTTCACCCCACTGAGCATCTGTTCTCTCAGCTGTAAAAATGAGGGAAATGGTTCTTATGTGTGCAGAGTGGTGAATCTAGAAAGAGCATTAAAATTGTTCTCCAATGCAAGCCCTCATTTTAGACAGGCAGAAGTGATGCCTGGTGAAGGGAGGCAATTTGCATTGTGAAGGAAAAGAGCCTAAGAGAGATCTTTGGGTTAAATATACGGAAAGGACTTGTCATGTACCTAACCCTCTAAAGCCATGACACTGGAAGGGCACCTCCGTCAGTCCTCTCACTGTCCTGAGGAGAGGAAATAACTAGTCAGCAACTAGTAAGTGTAACTACACATGCGTTCCTGAACTTCTTTCACATGGTAGCATCCGTGTGATAGGGACAACTGTCCATGCAGAACAACAGTGCTGGACCCACAAGTGCCATTGCTGAGCTAGTTCTTTGTCCTCTGGCCTCAGTTTCTCCATGGGAAGAGTTGGGGGAATAAGCCTAGTTTCACAAAGCAGGGAGTAGGGCTGAGGAATGGATTCCTCCGGCTGCCAGGAGGCCCCTGCATGCTCCCTTGACTTGGGCGGTGAATGGGTGGGCGGCTCCAGATGGATAGAAACTGTTCTGGCACCTGCTCTCCTGGGGCCCGGGCAGGCAGGCGGGCTTTGGCAGAGGTTGTCCTT